TGGCCCATGCACATCCCTAATCTGTACTTGGACCAATTCTCTTTAATATTTTTATTAGTGATATTGCAGAAGGTCTTGATTGTAAGGTATGTTTTTTTGCTGATGATACTAAGATATGTAACAGGGTTGATGTTCCAGGAGGGATAAGCAAGATGACAAATGATTTAAGTAAACTGGAAAAATGGTCAGAGTTGTGGCAGCTAACATTTAATGTGGATAAGAGCAAGACGTAAAAACCCAAGGACAGAGCACAGAATATTTGATAGAGTCCTAACCTCAACATCTGAGGAAAGGGATTTAGGGGTAATTATCTCTTGGCACCGTGAGCAAGGGATCCATGTCTGGACTACCCTTTAAACTTAAGGAGAGCAAAAAACAAGTCGCAAGAAAGTGCTGAGAACGGACAACAGCTAAATTAGCCTGTCCTTCGGTGGGTCCCTGCTTAGTTCTCAAGCTGGTTTTAGCTCATCTTGTGCCAAAAAGACAGCTTCTTACTGAGATGGAATGTCACATGGACTATATAAATGATGCTAGATGCAGAGTTTCATTCCAAGCCTTTAGTGAACTGGGAGTCACTGGTTATCTGAGAGCGTCAACTGACCGCTCTCAGCAAATCAGCGATGCTCCTGCCCGGCGGCAATCCACGCTTCCTGAATCTGAAAATTCAGAAACCGGATGTCACTTGGGAGGGAATTGGACATCTCCACTGGAGGCAACTTTGAGAAAGAAGGTAAGAGTACCTCCAGGGGTGTCCTGGTACCATAACAACTTAATTTAATGAAGTTGTTTTGGTGCCTAGAATGTCCCTTTACCTTCTAAATGGCAGGGAATTGAGTAGTGAGACTGCATGGGGCATGATCTATACACCAAACTGCTCCATTAAGCTAAAGTTGTTTTTGTGACTATAGTATCCATTTAAAAGATTGCATGTAATATAGCCTAGTTGTGTGTTATTTTGTAATAAATACATATTAGCTAATTCTTCTTTTCCGTGTGTATTCTGGCTTAGCCTTCATCTGTGGTAGCAGCCAGGGCCATATCAGGTGCCTGTAGACACACAATACTGAGTTTAATACATTTAATAACGGGAATTGCAGTTATAAAAAGCATCTAAAAATATCTATATATTCATATTTGACAATTGCATACATTTATATGTATGCGCATATTCCTGCTAGTAATGTATTTTATTTAAATCTGTGAGTATAGTTAGTGCATGCAGCTGTGCAAATGCATGAAGGGTCAAGGATAATGTTACAAGGGTAATGGGAGGGAGAGATGTGCACCGCCGAAAATAGTTTCATTTCGTTCCAATTTGCTATTTTTCGAATTGCGGTTCCTCTGAAATTTGGAAATGATCCTTTCGGAACATAACAAAATTTTGAAATAATTTAGTTCCGATGTCATTATTTCTATTATTCCAAAGAATATCAAATCATTGAGCTGTTAAGCAGATAGCTCCCTACTTTATTATCCGCAGACATGGCAATCCCAGATAAAAGGTACCAAATTAGGAAGCTATCTACTAAACACAGTGTAATGGAACATGGTATTCAGCCCGAAAACCTATGCTAATTCTCCTTCTACTTGTCACAAGGTACCGCATTTGTGAAAATATCCCCTTTCCCCATACACTATTAGTGTGGGTAAATCAAGTTCAATCTCTATTGGTATAACAAGCAGGTTTTTATAGAGGGAACAACAGCAGGGGATTATCAACAGAACAATCCCTCCACCAAGTCTCGGTTGCAAAACACAATGTAAATCATTGTCCAGTTAATTCAATTAAGTACAGTCTTGCCTTTACAGGTATAAGAGCCAGGGATTCGGAACCCTAAACATCAGTCTTCCCATAATGTACTACCCAAATCTTGTACATTGCGGAGTGGTTTGCTAGCAATTGATTCAATTTTAATAGTTCTGTAACACACAGCTGAAAGAACCAAATTAATAAAAGCAATGGATGAAAACAAATGGATTAGGAATAATTTGTTTCAATTTGCTCCACATTCGATCATTCTCAGTTCATTTTGGTTGGTAATTCGGCAATTTGGAAGCTTCATCCAAATTCCAATTCGGAATTAAACTAATTGCACAGGTGTAATCAACGGTTTAAGTTTATATAAGGTTTTAATTACAGAGTTAGATTACATAGGTTAAGAGGTTCTCTTGAATGCTGCCTTTGAAAGCCCTCCCATTCTAACCCCACCCAGACTTGCGGTAGCTGTCCAATCACAGAGTTCCCAATGCAGCTCAATGAGAAGTCTTTGCAAGACAGGTTCTCTAGGCAATTGCTGCCTCTTGAGTTTAGCTCCATTGAGCTAAACAACCAGGAAGTAACAGAAACTGTTCTCTGCTTGAAAGCCATCAGGGTGTAACCATGTTAATTTATAATGTTTTGATTTCTAATGAAATCTGTGTTTTTGCAAAATGATAAGGTAGGACACAGTATTCACACATAAAACGTTAGCTAAAGTCCTCTAGAGGTCTGTAGTGTCCTTTTAAATAGTGTGCATCACTCAATGCAGTCCCTGTTCCTCCTGCCATGCATTTATTTTGTGAGAGGCTGTTAATGTGCATATGGGAAGTGATCCCTTTCACTTCCTGTCCAGCCTTACACACGGAAACTGGAGGAGCTGGGACAGCACTAAGTTTTACATCATCTATAACTGTTCCTGCGGGTCTGCTTTAGCATAGGAGATTGAGTGGAATACAGAGGACACTGGGCAAGGCTCCTGGCATTTATCTTCTGACCAGCTTACTTGAATTCCAAAGAGACATATTATATGTGATGAAAACACATGTCTGTAGTTGGATGCATACTCTGCCTAATGGGAATTCTAGCCCTAGTGGCAGCCATTTTTAAGTCCTATTTGCTCTTAATTACCATTTATCAGTTGAGACCACTGAGATGAGCATGTGGAACCACCTCAGAAAACACTGAGGTGGTTCCACTCTTCATTACCTGTTTGGTCTTGATAGGATATGCTCTGCTTCCTACCAAAGGGGATTTCAAAATGGCTGCCCCCATAGAGCAAGCGTAAGACAGGGGATGCCTTAAAAGGACACTATAAGACCCCAAACCACTTCATCGCATTGAAGTGGTCTGGGTGAAGTGTGTTGTACTCTTAACACTGCAATGTAAAATACTGCAGCTTTTTGGGAAACTGAAATATTTACATTCAAGGGTCAACACAGCCATTAGAGGCGCTTCCTCAAGATTCACAGAGTTTGAGTCCCCTTTGCACAAGGACTTCCAGCATGTGTCTGTATGGGGAAGGCCTAATGCTTGGGCAACGCTTGCCGTGCATGCGCATTAAGTCCCTCCATCCACTGAATTTTTAACCCTTTATTTGCCACTGGGGGGGTCTGCGAGAGTTGGGGGACAGAGAGCACTATTGTGTTAGCAATACAGTTTTGTATTCCTAACACTATAGTTTTCCTTTAAAAAAAAGTACCGTATATACTCGAATATAAGTCGAATTTTTCAGCACATTTTTTGTGCTGAAATCCCCCCACTCGACTTATACTCGAGTCACTGTCTGTATTATGGCAACTTACATTGCCATAATACAGACCAGGACCGCCGGGCTCATTACAAGCCCGGCGGTCCTGTTGGGGGCTCCTGTCAGCTCCCTTCTCTCTCCTCCGGTATGTTAGCTCCCCTGTCAGCTCCACTGTAAGTCTCGCGAGAGCCGCGGGGTCAGATTGTTGCCACGGGTTACCGTGGCAACGCTCCACGCGGCACTCAGACCGCGAGACAGTGGAGCTGACATGGGAAGTTGACCGGACTGGAGGAGAGAGAAGGGAGCTGACAGGAGCTGCAGGAAAGGTAAGTTACAGCTCGCTGCCAGCCCCCCTCCTACACAGCCCATCCACTGGACCACCAGGGAAAGGCCAGCTAACAAGCAGGGAGGGGGGACAAAAATAAATAAATAAATTAAATAATATTAAAATAAAAATATGAATCATATTAAAAATAATAATAATAATAATAATAATACAATAAAAATAAAATAATAATATAACAAAAAAAAATATTAAAATAATAATAATAATAATAATAAAAATAATAAAAATGCCCCCACCAAGGCTCTGCATCACATACACAAACACACTCTGCATCACACACAAACACTGCACTCATACACACACACACACACTACACTCATACACACACTGCACTCATACACACACACACTGCATTCATACACACACACACTGCATTCAAACACACACACACACACTGCATTCACACACACACACACACTGCATTTATACACACACACTGCATTCCTACACACACACACTGCATTCATTTTATACACACACTGTAAATAAATATTCAATTAATATAATTTTTTGGGGATATAATTTTATTTAGAAATTTAGTCTTATACTCGAGTATAATCTAGTCTTATACTCGAGTCAATACGTTTTCCCAGTTTTTGGGGGTAAAAGTAGGGGTCTCGACTTATATTCGGGTCGACATACTCGAGTATATACGGTATTTAAATATATTCATTACAAAATAATGAACATAGAGGATAACAAAAAAACAATTCAATGTTTTATTTTAGCTGTATATATAAAATATTATGACAGTTTTACTTTAAACTGATATCTATGTAAAGCTATCTTGTAAAGTTATATTTGTTAATTTGGGAAACATGAAATAGTCTAAATAACAGTTATATTCCTGTTCCGATTTTCTTGCATGCTCTATTCAAACAATTCCAAGACAGGTATATACTCACATAGACACATTGTCTATTTATTTATGGACTCTTGGAATATTCAGGGACACTTGTAAATGCAACAGGGGTTTAAGCAGTAAAATGTTGAGAAAAATGTACAGCGTTCACCTAACCAATACAGCCCCGAAGCATGAATTCTTGAAAAATATCCCTGAATATATTGGCAATGCGGTCATCCAAGTACATGTTAATAAATATTATGTTCTAAGCACAGGAGACAGGTAATAAAAGTGTAATGAGTTGAGGGGCGGAGCCGAGCAGCCAGACTGAGCAGACGTGCCGAGACACAGCTCCTGAGCCAAATCGTCCTTTTCTGGGGTAAAACCCATGCAACTCGGCACGTCCATCTCCAAGTCAGCTCTTAATAAGCGGGGGAAACCCAGGCGAATAACCGGATACCAAAATCGAGCAGTTCGACAGCCGGGTGCCCCAATCCACCTACTGAGGCCTGCTGACATACCGCACGGCACCAACATGCGGCCTGCTCACACAGGCAGCGCGGGAGAGACGGCCGCTCTCCTGCCACCTTCATATCCGGCTGATTTACCGCTTAGCCCACGTCCCCCCCCCTACGGGCCGGCGGGGGTCATCCCGGTCCACATTACACAGGGCCACAAGCTCCCACAAACTACTGCGATCGCAAGCAACCCGCAACTGGCAACCAAAATGGCGGCCGTCATCCACGCTCCGGGGCCTACACTCACCAAGTCTACACAAGTGAAACCAAACGGTGGGATCCCCCGTGAGGATAATATCAAAGCAGCATTTGACCAATTTTGGGAGCAACTATGGGCCACGCTAGCACAGACCCAAACAGCCGAAACAGCCGTGCGACAGCCAAGCACCCCCCCTACACATAAACCAGCTCTGAAAAGCACCACGGAGCCACTAAACGAGAAAAAGCGGGAGAGCAGAGCGAGGGCTACCCCCCGACCCTTAGGCTGCAGACCACGCATCAGACGCCACCCACCTGGGCCTCGACGAAGGCGAAGGACCCACACGCAGGGCCCACCGCTGCTCAACCTAAAGAGATACACCTGGGGGGGCAACCTCCGGCCAGCCTGCGCACCACAAGCGGGGGAGCGGAGGCCTCGTAAAGCGTCCGGACGCAACTCTGACCAGGGGACGCACTCAGCTCCACACCGCATCTCCGACAAGAGGCGGAGACCACCAGCAGTTCCTAATGCGGCACCTACATCGGCAAAACTGATGAAGCAGCAGAACCACCTGAAGGTGGCCTCCAACCACAATCCGCTCAACCACAATCCGCTCAACACCCGCTATGAGAATAGCACACAACAAAGAGATCAGGACCCAAGACAGGGGATGGGGTGAACTCCTAACGAGGTTTTGCCTGGGCATTTCGGTAAATACTATGCTTTTACTACACTGACTGATCTGCCCCGGCCCTTGCCTGAACTGTCTGTGCCAAATCACCTGCTAATTTGACCCCCATTGGACTTCCTTTGCAACCCTGATGGTACCAAGTTCTTCCCGACCTGAACAGCAAGGCTTAATGCTTAAATGTTAATGCTTAAATGTTATTGTTATTGTTTCACTACACTCAACCCTCAATCTACCAGGCACGCCTGCCTACGCTACCGTGCCCCTAGCTTAAGCCACCCGGTGGAGCGGAGCTTAGCCTTAACACTCGACACACTAGCCCAGCAAAATACAAGCAGGGTACACCGTCACCCAGCAATACACTTCTCAGAAACTCACTCTGCCATTGTAAAACCTGACAGCTGACCAGTACCCACCTCAAGCTTTAGAACCAGCAACGTTACACACACAAAACTTACACATAAGCTACGGGTAATAGAGCCGACACCTCATATAAACATAAAAATGTGCAAGCAGCAACATGTGCCCCACTGTAATATTTGTTATTGATAGTATGTGGATTGCCGTTGGGGTACCACATACACGTTGTGATATCTTAATGCACTGAAAAATAAAGAATTATAAAAAAAAAAAAAAAAGTGTAATGAGTTATTGAAAATCTTTAAAATTGCTCAACCATTTAAAAAAAATGTTAACACAACCTATGGACAGTTTGTGTGCTCTGCTGATCAATGGAAAGTTTTAGCATGTGACAGGGCGGCTTTAAGAGAAGATCTGTTGATAAACTGATAGCTGCGAGACTAGCAGCGGGATCATGGGTAATTATACTCCTTTCTCCTAGCGCTGTCAGCTCATTTGAGACGGGTCTTTATCGCTTTGTGTTCCTGTTTGCCTACGTTTATTCAATATCCTTTGATGGCATGTTTTGTTTATTGCAAATATCTGCAGAATATGCTGCCTTTTTATAAATAATAAAAAACACAAAAAAAAAATATCCTGTATCTAGACCCAAAAGGATTGGGGTCCAGGAAGCCCTTAGTGAGAGCATTTAGCTGCGAGCATATGTGTTTGAAGACCCTAAATAGAGCAGATTTGCAAATGTTGTTACTTTACGTATTTAATTTGTAAGAATAGTAGGGGTGATTTGTAGCATTAGGCTTATTTATCAGCAAAAGCAGACTAAGAGATTTATAGAACATAGTCTGGAATGTGCACAAGAGAGGCAGACAAATTTACCAATGGCTAACATCAGTTTATTATAAGAGATCCACCGATTTATTTCTTAACCAGGAGTTGGAACGAATTCAAGGATTTATTTCTGCCTAGGTGTCACCATGTAATAGAGTGGAGAAGATTCAGTAATGCACCAACCCCAGAGAACAGAATAATACATTTTAAATCTGTCAGCTAGCAATCCGGAGGTTCTGGAGGATAAACTCAGGCCTTTCTCGAAGAGGACAACGTAGAATTCCAGGTTAATTTGTACAAATAATCTCAGCGCAAGCGTGGTTCTCTGCCCTTTTGTGCATTGCTCCGTCAATAAATGATTAGTGTCAGTGTACATTCAGTTCAGTATTTTTTTTTTTAACACAAAAGAATTACCGCCAGAGCCTACGATAAGATCACTACAGATCACATACTAAAAGTCTGACAGCTCTGTTCTAGTTACAGGGGCAGTAACTATGGAAAATAGGAAAATAACAAGCCCGAGATGCAAAAATAAATCCAAGCGTCTTGCTCAGAGATGAATCAGTGTAACAGCTTCTGGACAGCGGCTTTCCTGCCAAGGAATCGACTGAGGAAATAAAGTGAAGGGATAAGTCCGTAGCCAGAGGCTATTAATTTTACATATTACAAAGTTGTAGTTAAAATTGAAATAAAAGTGAAAAATACGCAGAAAAAAAAGTCCATAGGGGCAAAGCAATCTATGTAGAAGATGGACAGAAAAAGCTGTACAGACAGAAGGACAGAGAACATAGACAGGTCCAATGCAGACAAGTTATAAGGTTATCAGAATCACAAGGAACCTAACAGAGGAAAATATACATGAATAGGAAGGTACAGAGTAAGAAGAGTCTTCGGAACATAAAAGTCAGTCAATTTGCAGGAAGACATGATGATAACAGCTAAGTATACCCAGGATGAACATACGATCCTAGTTAAAAGGATTCTGGCATACTACGTCACATTGATTGAAAAGTAAAAAGTAAGATTGTAGCAGACTAGCAAAGCTTCATCCGTCATCATCGGCAAACTGTTGGCATTGCCAAGTTTGTGAGGGCAGCATATTGCATATATATTTTGGTCTTACTCGATTATTTGAAATTATGGGCTGGAAGTGAAGTATTTAATACAGAAAGAAGAGAGAGTATGGAGTGGAAGCTAAAGGGATACACTCATGGGGTTAACCCATCCTAAACTACCAAAGTAGTAAAAAAGAAAAAAACAGAGAGAAAGCTGAGTGCCCTAATTAGATAAAATATAACTTTTAATGGTAAAGGTTAAAAATGGAGGCGTAGGTGCCCATGCGGAAATGAATACGCAAAATGATCAGCATATAGATATAATAGGCTGTACAATAATAGTTCACTATATACAAAAACGATAAACCTAAAAAAGAAAATAACTATAATAGGCTGAACCAATAATAATTGTAATATAAATCATGGGGCTACCTACTAAGTTAGAGCACTAAATGCTGAGCTATTACCTGTGGACTGAGCACTGAGAGAAAAGCTGGTAATGACACGTATCGCTATCCTGCCATCAAATGGCATCTCCAGATATAGGAGATGTAACACTACATCTAGTAATGAGAGCAATGAGGACCCGTTCAAAAGTTTTCAGTATCCTCTGCTAGGTCTTAACTGCAAGGAACAATGTTGCAGTTTGTCTAAATGGCCATACTATTGTAAACAGGAATTAAATCTGATCTGTTGTTACTCTATCTAAATAGAGCTCTCTTTGCTCTGTCCCACATCTATAATGCTGGTTTTAAATGAAACCAAGCGAAAATATGTGTATAGAATGTGCAAAAAGAGATAGATATGTTTGCACAAACGATAGTCTACATAAATAGTGTTGTGCCCAGATGAGTGCAACACTAGTAATGTGTATACTTTGTGCAGAATGTGAAAAATAGCTGCACTAAGTAAAATATTAGCCCAGTATATTAAGTGTGTTAAAATAAAAATGCCGATGTGGCCGTTACTTAGAATATTGCCCAAGTGCCTAATTTGGCTGACAATAAAACACTAACCTGTTATACACTGGGAAACAATTATGAAAGGGCTAAAGGCTGCAAATATTGTGAAATAAAATAAGTCACTGACAGGTCTAATATCATGCCTACCTTTAACCGATAGCGAGAGGAAGAGCAAGCAACCTTCGCCCACCCAGCCAATAACAGGAAAAGAACTCAGGATTCAGAGGGTTGTGTGGTGTCCACAGGTCAAACACACACAAAAAGCTGTTACAACAAATCGCCGAGGGCCTCCACAACTCATCAGATTGGAACCGATGTGTGGTAAGTAACCGACATTATAATGGGAAAGAAATGTTCTGATAAGAGAGTTTGAAAAATCGGCTATTATCAATTAGCCAATCCCGACGTGACTTAAAAGTGACGTAACTTAGGAATATTTGAAGACAATGTGATGATGGTGCATCAAGAGATTTCCCTTGCTGAAGGATATCCCAGGTCAGATACGGTTCAAATTATGGGTATACAATGTATTTACAATTACTACCCTTAAGTTTTCCAATGGTTTAAAATGTAAAGTTTTACGACTGACATTGATGTTATCTGCTTAAACCACTAGGAAAGTTCTATCATTACTGTACTGATTCTCTGATTTTCCTGTATCAGACTCCTTTTTATATGTTACCTACTTGAGCTAAAAATTATACATGGAAAAAAAAGTAAAGAAGTTTTTTTGTGAGCAAAAATCAGGTCTGTAAACGTGAAGAATGCCATTCCATGTGAGATTCTGTAAAATTGTGTGACAGAGCAGACTTTTCAAACAAGAATCATTGGTGGTGACGGAGTTATCCACATATGACAGTGTAAGATGTTTTCTGCGGTTGTTACAATATTGTATTTTTCAAAAAGATATGTTTTTGCTTGATGCTAATTGGTGACCAACAAAGTACATCTCTTTGACAGCCTATGCATCATAGGCCGAAGGAATTTAGTGAATGTGTAATCCCAAATGACTGCATGCTAAGAAGAAGTGACCCTTATTTTAGCAGAAAGTCAAGTATTTCCATTTTATTTCAAGGAATTTTATTAAAGGACACAGAGGCTCCTATTAGGCTTTATCTCTTTCTTTATTCCTCAGCAGCAAAGAAAGGATATTGATATTTTTAATATAGCAATAACAAGAAAAACAAATACCCCTTAAGGGTTAACCATATAACATTCCATATACATTAACCAATAGGATCAGTCCTTGTACTATATCCCCTCATGTGAGCTAAACTACTTCCTCTTTCTTTGCTGCTGCCTCAGCTAAGTACCACATAATTTGTTTCAGCGCCACAAAATATTGTGTATTTTTTGTTAATTGTGTTTTCAGTTTCTTCTGGTTTAATATTGTTATCTTTATACTATTCTTTTTTCTGTATATTGTTGTTCTGTATATTATATGTGCCTTTTGATAACTGTGCCTTGCCCTAGCTGTTCAGCTTAGTGTTCAGCCAATTACCCTGTGCTGCTGGTATACAAACCACTGCAGTGCTGTCAGTGTGCACTTGTCCACTAGTGACAGTTCTATTTTTAGTGCCTTTCTCCCTCTACTATTACTGTGACACATCCTGACCACTATGCAGTCCCCTGTTAGTAAACAGACGG